GGATGCATCGTTTTCAGATTGATTGATTGATGCAGGATGCTCAGGGGCTATTCCTAACTCTGTAGGACTGACCCACTGATGGTGCTCAGGAACAATCTACGGTGCCAGAAATTCACCCCCATACAACCCTCATGCCAGACAAGTGGCTGACCTCCTGACTTCCTGACCTATCTGTGCCCATCCTTGTCAGATTTAAAGTCCTGATGTGGGCAAGGGAGCAGACCTTGGCATTACTTCACACTCCCAACTGGCTGTGGGGACTCAGATAGTCTCTGAATTTTTCTAGAATCCAGTTTTCCAGACCCTTGATTGGCCAATTTTCCAGACCCTTGATTGGTCTGACTCTGCTGACTTCCGGTTCTTTCCTCTTTGAGAATTCTGAGACTTTTTCCTCCCCGTTCTTCATCTATCCCCTCAGTGTTACTCACCATCCTTCCTCTGCCAACCCTCTTACTGCCTCTGGAGGCCCAGCTGGACATGAAGGTCTCCAGAAAAGTCGTTTGCTTTTATTAATTGCAAAATGGCTCCACACACCCCCAAGGCAAGACTGTGCTGTGGGGAACACACTGGAGACTCTGGTTCCCCACACCCTTCCTCCTGCTTCCTGTACATCCCATCAGCCTGGAGCCCTAAAGTCAAACTTTTAAATGTTTTTGCTTCAGAAAATTATTTGACCTTGGTCTGGAGCTGGTAGGGCTGGGTTGGCCTTGCATGTAGCCAACCCAGATTCGATCTCTGACATCCTGTGTGGTCCCCCAAGCACCATCAGAAGTAATTCCTCAGTGTGCAGAGCCAGGAGTAACCCCTGAGCATCATAGAGTGTGACTTCTCCTTTAAAAAAATTGCCCTTTCAGGTTTGTATAGAGAATCTTACTTAAAATCTTGTCTTTGGGGGCCAGAGCAACAGTACAGCTGGTAGGTCTCACAGCCACCTGGGTTCAATCCCCGCATCCCATATGGTCCATCAAGCCATCTCATATGAGCATCACCTAATGTGCCCCAAACCCTCCCCCACCCCAATTTTTTGTATTTGCAAAACTGTGAAGTCTTATCTTTGGGTGTGACCATGGACCACCACTCCCCAACCTCTCTAGCATCCAGATCCCTCTTAACACTGCCTCTTTGGCTCCTGCACTGAAATGTCAGCCAGTTGACCACTTGGGAGGTCAGCAAAAAATAAAATTCTAGATGGAAGAGAATATAGCAGGGAAGGCACTTGCTTTACATATGGCCAAGCCAAGTTCAATCCCCAGCACTGCATAGGATCCCCTGAGCACAGAGCCAGGAATAGTCCCTGAACATCATCATGTGTGCCCTCCTGCCCCACCTCACCCCACCCCGCAAAAGAATTGTGAATTCTTTATAAAAGTCTACTTGTGATTCCGCAAAACCTTGCACTTTGTAGTAGGCTGTCATCTAGAACCCCAAACTGTACTCCCTCCTTGCTCCAAACTTTGCAGGGTGCCTCGGGACACCCTCGGAGTTGCCCCTAGAGCTCCAAGGGTCTGAACTGGAAATGACTGAGGAATGGCAGGGCCAGGACCTGAGTGTCCCTCTCTTCTTCCAGGAACAAAGGGAGCATGAGGTGGTCAGCGAGTCGAACTGCAGGGACACTGATGGCCACAATGTCCCTGACGTGGGGAAGGGAGAAAGAGAGTCAGAACAGGACCCCCTGGAAAGCGTCCCCTGCACTCTGCCCTCTGTGGGGCTGGTGGGCACAAACTCAGCTTGGTCTCCAGGGAAGGAGTTTTCTGAGGTGATCCCAGGTAGGAAGCAGGAAAGGGACTCCTATGATGTCCACACACAGAGCTTTCTAGAAAGGCCTCATCCTCCCCCACTTGTCCTTGTCCTTCCTGGGGAGCTGACCGGCTTCCCTTAGGAGCTGCTCCCCCAACCCCTTCGTCCATGTGCTGCCTCCTTCATTCTCATCGTGTCCCCTCACCCAGCCCAGGCATCCTGTCAGCCCTGGGCCTGCACAGTTGCCTCACCCTGCTGGCCCCTGCCCTCTCTCTTGTGCTGCTTCTCAGGTCTCACCCTTAGGGTAGAGGAGAGTCTTGCGCTGTGCTTTCAGGCATCTCCAGGGCACCAGAGAAATCTTCACATATGCTGGGAAACCCCATGTTCAAAAGCCAGCCCATATGGCCAGGCAGCGCTAATCAGCTGCCACAGCCTCAGTGTGTCAGCGCATGTGGGTCAGGCACTGTTAGGAGGAAGCCAAAGAAGGTCGCAATAAGTGAATCCTGGCCAAATCTACCCTTTTTGGAGGGCAGTTTCCAAAAAGAAGGCAAGTGGATGGAAGAAAATGTGGTCCGTCGAATCTATAGCAAAACTTGTCTCAGGAGATAGAAGCTGAATGAGTGGGGCAAACCCAGCCCCGAGGAGAGTTGGGTTGGCTCCTCCTCCACAGAGACCCCCAGAGCAGACACGGGGGACTCTGGTCCAGAGGGAGCAGCACAGCCTGTTCCCTACAAACCCACTTCCAGGGAAGAGTGGTTCTGAACTTGAATAGGGGCGAAGAGGTCCCCCCTGCCTGCGTTAATAATTTGCCTCTGACATTCAGATCCAAGTCAGAAGGTTAGTCTGATTGGATCCACAGAAGACCCCCAAGCCCGCATTCCTGCCCCAACCCCAGTACTCCTGAGTGACCTGAGCAGAGCCTTTTGGCCTTCCAGGTCCTTGTAACCAAAATGCTGGCTCATTGTCGACACCCAGAGAGGCAGATCCTGTCAGATGCATGGAGACAGCCTTGGTTGAACCACAGAGCTGCAGGAGCTCTGGGGCAGACAGGAAAGAGAATCCAGCCTGAAACACAGGCTCTCAGTCTCTCAGGGCCTGTGTGAGCCCAGGTGAGCCCCTCAGGCTCTCTGAGCATGGGTCAGACTAAGGGTGTTAGACTCAGGCAGTAGTTTTCAAATGTTTCTAACCACACAATTCTTTTTTTTTTTTTTTTTTTTTGCAAAGGTAGGAGGTGAGTATTGGGTCACACCAATTCTCAGGGGTGCTCAGGGCTTGCTCCTGGCTCTGAACTCAAGGATCATTTCTTGGTATGCTCAGGGGATGGTATGGGGTACCAGGGTTTGAACCCAGGTTGGCCGCATACAGAGCAAGCACCCTACCCACTGTACTATCACTCTGGCACCACAACCTATCTTTAATGAGTTCTTACCATGTCCTAGCCTGTAGCCTGGGGTTGGCCAGTCCTGATTTGGTGGGGACTATCATGACTGGCTTCCAACTACACAGCTTCAAGCCTCTCCAGTTAGCCTCTGCTTGCTGTGCTGCCATGTAAGGTGGCCACAGTGCTCCTGGGAGCTGATAGAAGGTCTCTCAGGCCTATTTCTATTTAGAGATTCATTCTGTTTGGTGGGGGACAGGGGATCGGGGATAGGGGGGAAGTTCCCGTATCCTCCCATCCCCATGTCGCTAGGGCTTGAGCCTGGCCTAAGAACCCCACCACATGAATTTGCTCCTAGACAGCTCCCCACCAGTACTTTTCTGCACCTCTTTCTTCCACTGTGGGTACAGGGACCAGAAAGGTGGTCATGGCTGGAGTAATAGTACAGCGGGTAGGGTACTTGTCCTGCATATGGCTGACCAGCGTTTAATCCCCGGCATCCCATATGGTCCTCCTAGCACTGCCAGAAGTAATTACTGAGCACAGAGCTAGGAGAAACCCCTGAGCATCACAGAGTGTGACCCAAAAACTTTAAAAAATATTGGAGGGAAGTCTCCCCACTGCAGATGTGACTCTGCTCCTCTTGGGCTGCTCGTGTGCAGACACAGTCTTTTTAAACCCCACAGGAGCTGCCCACCAGGCTCAGCCAGGTCTCCCACAGCCGGGCTGGACCAGAGCTCTGGCTTGAGCAAGATCCCTTTTCTGTGAGATCTGCTTCCCCTGCCACAGCAGCTGTCCCTGCCGGTCCTGCCACATAAGGAGGTGTCATCTAGGAGCAGAGGGCTGCGTTCCCTTCTCCTGGGCATGTGATACACCAGCCTCCACTGGAGGCCCTCTGCTAGGCTTGGGCAGCGGGTGCACCAGCACCCCACTCTGGAGGGAGGTGCAGGGAAGGAAAAGCCATTTTCTCCCCAAGGCAGCCCCTCCCTGCCCCCCATCCCAGGACCACACAGGAGAGCAGGACAAGTTGAAGAAGCTGCTCAGGTGCTGGTCCCACCCCTAAGCCTACTGACTCCTCCTCAGAGGGCACCTGGGCACCCTCTACAAAGCTCCTTAGGCTATTGGAGCCCATCAACAAAGTTCCTGTTGTGATGGGAGCAAGGCAAGGGTCTTGTAGCATCCCCGGACTGGGCTGTCTTCTCCCTGCATTGAGGAGGCAGGGGATGAGTCACTCTGTCAGTACTTAGGGGCTACTCCCAGCTCTGTGCTCACTCTGCCCCCACCCAGAGATGCTGGGGAGATCCAGCCCAAGTCAGCCACTTGCAAGCACCTTAACCACTGGGGGAAATGGCAGCTCTGCCTGGTGCTTTTAGCTTTGGAACATTAAACACGGATGGAGATGGCAGGACAGACACCCGTAATGGGTGTTCATTTGTGCTGTCTAGCGGAAAAACTCTTGCTCTGCAACCCTACCAGGGCCCCCGCCCAGCTGTCAGAGAACTGGCTGAAGCTTTGGCAGCCCCTGACACCCTCCAGCAGCACTGGATACACCTTTGGATGAGATCATCACACACACACACACACACACACACACACACACACACACACACACGCCCCTTCAACTTGCTTCCAGAACCTTCTGTGGCTTTTAGGGCAGAGCAAAGGATGTGCATGGAGGTGGCAGCCTGGGCAGTCTAGGGGAGCTAGTGGGGCGGGTACCAGAAGCAGGCCAGCAGGAGCCAGGATGTGCTAACAGAAGAGAAACAGCTTGGTGTGTGTTGGGGGGTAAGGGAGGTTGGGGATGGGGGTTTGATGTGTACAAATATCCCAGCTCTGCTGAGAGTGGCATCCCAGCGAGGCTCCTCGGTCTGCCCCGCACCTGCAGCAGGGGGAAGAGAGCCAGAGGCCTCGGGACCCGCAGCCACCTCCTCCACAGGGGCCGCCCCTGCACGGGCAGCAGCAGAAGGGCGGCGGGGTTGAGAAGCCGGCCACCGAGTCCGGCTTCAAGGCTCTGGACACGCCTCTGAGCGAGGGCGATGAGCCAGCCACACTCCCGGCACAGCGGGACCCCGGATACAGCGTGCAGATGGAGGGCTACTTGGGCCGCAAACACGACCTCGAAGGGCCCAACAAGAAGGCGTCCAACAGGTGTGTGTGTGGGGGGGGGGGCAGCTCCTACACCCTAGCATGTGAGTAGTGTGGGGCGGGGGTGTGGTGCTCTGAAGGGTGTCTGGGATCCCAGGTTCCCCTCAGTGTGGTGCTGGAGCTCTCTGGTCCAGTCTACAGTTCAAGTCCAAGGGCTGGGGGAGGAGAGAGAAAAAAGGGTGCAGGGCCAGGGGTGGGAAGGGGGGGGGGTTGGTGTACAGAGTATCTGCAGCCAATTAACGTGTCTAGTGCAGAGTCATACTCTGACACTGGCTAGAACTGGTGACTGGTAGGTAAATCTAGGCACCTACAATCCCTTGCAGAATTTCACTGTGTGTGTGTGTGTGTGTGTGTGTGTGTGTGTGTGTGTGTGTGTGTGTGTGTGTTGGTTTGGAGGCCATTCCAGGCAGTGGTTATCCCTGATTCTGCTTTCAGGAATCACTACTGACAGGCTCAGGGGCCCCATATGGGAATGGAACCCAGGTCAACCACATGCAAAGACAACTGCCCTACTCACTAATATTATCACTTTGGCTCCCCAAGTCCTACTTTTTAACCAGTGGTAGCCTCAGCTGTTCCCCAGCTGAAGAGCAGGAAAATGAGGAGGGTTGACTTGGAGGCCTTCCAGGGGTCTCTCCCTGCTATCAGTGTCCCTGGGTGACTGCCTGGGTGTCTATGATCCCTCCTGGCCCCCAGCAGTCTTGTATCTGGGTCGGCCTCTGCTGGAATGTTGATGCTCCCAGGCAGTGCTCCCAGGGCAACAGGCAGAAGCAGCGGTGAAGACAATCAGACCCACAGCAGGCAGCAGGCAGTCCAGCGGATCTATCAAAAACTTTCTAAGGGGCCAAACATAGAGGCTGGGGGGTGTTACTCAAGCAGTAGAGCACAAACCTCACATGTGTGAGGCCCTGGGTTTGATCTCTGATTCCATCTGGTCCTCCAACACCACCGCATGTGGCCATTATAACAGATTCTAAAAATGACCTTGGGAATTCAACTGCCTTGAAGAGGCTTATTGTTTATTCAGAGAATCCATTGGTAAGGGTGAACTAGTTTATTGGGCTATGTGCCAGGCATTGCTTCAGGGCTGATACGATCTTCACAAGTACCCTGAGATGCTGAAACATCCATTTTCCACATGGGGAAGAGTTTCAGAGAGGCTCGATCATTTGAAGGCAGGATTGTACTCCCAGACCCAGCTCCAGAGCAGCTGCCTTACTTGGACTGAAAGCCAGAGGCTACGGAATGACCCCAGAAGAGTTTCCGAAAGCTGCTCCATGGCCCACTTTGTGCAGTCAAGCTCTCTGAACTTCCTCTATGTTCCCTACAGTTCTGCCCCATCCAGCTCTCCAGAGGGAGGAGGACAGAGACTTTTTATTGGCCCTCCTTGCTGGCAAAGGGAGAAAACTTGAGTGCCATGCATTAAGCCTCTCCTCCTGTCCTCACCAAATACATCATTAGTGATGAACTCTGATGTGCACAAATGTGTCTTTCACAGATGCTAGTCCGGTATCCTGCACACAACAGAAATAACCAGAATCAAGCCCTGCTCAATGCACCTCGGGATTCCACACTGAGAACCAAATATAAAATAGTTGGGAAAGTCTCCACTATTGGTTTGAGATCCAGTCATCCCTTTTGAAATGGATCTCCAGGGAAAGACAGCAAAGACAAAGATTAAGACGCACATCACTAAATTGTGGATAGATTTCCTAAGATTATCAGACCTTCTGACAAAGGACAATGAAGACATTGTGGATATGGATATGATGAGACATCGTATTTCTTAAAAATTATTTTCAAAAAAAAATAGCTGATATGGGGAAATGCTTGTTATGTAGTAGTAAACTAAAAAGCAGAACATAAAACTGAGTATGTGGGGCTGGAGTGATAGTATAGCCAATAGGGTATTTGCCTTGCATACAGTCCATCTGGGTTCAATCCCCAGCATCCAATATGGTCCCCTGAACTTCGCCAGGAGTAATTCCTGAGTGCACAGCCAAGAGCAACCCCTGAGCATCGTTGGGTGTGACCCAAAAAAAAGTTTAAAAAAATGAATATGTAGTTTAATCAAATATAGCTATATATATGAACAGAAGTGAAAATATTTGAATAGAAAAAAACTAGAAAAATTCATTGCTTTTTGGTTCTGTTTTGTTGGGTTGGGGTGGGTAACAGTATTTATGGTAGTCTGTAATAAAAATATTAGATTTTTATCTCTAATATTTTAATGGTAAAATGCTACCACCTATCGATGTTCAGATGCTGCAGTTAGACTAGTAGAGCTCTGTCAGTCTCTTCATTGTTGTTTGGTTTGGGGGCCACCCCAGCTTTGCTCAGGGATCCCTCCTGGCAGGGCCTCAGGGGACCAAACCCAGGTACCTCACCCACTCTACTATCTCTCTAGCAACAGCCTAGAGAGTCGGTGTTGATCCCTGTGGGTGACATCCTGCTGGGTCGTTGCAGGTCCTGGAACCAACTGTACTGCGTGCTCAGGAACAGCCAGCTGACCTTCTACAAGGATGCCAAGAACCTGGCGCTGGGGGTGCCCTACCACGGGGAGGAGCCCCTGGCGCTGAGACATGCTATCTGTGAGATCGCTGCCAACTACAAGAAGAAGAAGCACGTTTTCAAGCTGAGGTGAGGCCCTCCTGCCCGTGTCCCTTCCCTGAGCATGGCATGGCATGGGTGCCTAGCCTTGGGTTGCCCCCTGGAGAGGAGTGGGATGGGGTGTCCAGTTGTCGGGTTCTGCAGCTCTCGGGCTTTGTGTCTGATTCCGAGGGTTCTGGGTAAGGGAGGATGTTAGGGGGCCGTGGGCCCACCTGGGCAGAGGACCCCAGAGGTGGCCAATTTCAGGAAACGCTTTGTCCTTCCAGGCTGAGCAATGGCAGCGAGTGGCTCTTCCATGGAAAGGACGAGGTAAGTGTGTGGTAGCCTAGCCAGCCACCTCCAGACTCCCTGGGGGCAGGGATGGGTGCTGAGGGCTGGCCCCTGGAGGGTGGGAGGGGAGGGGAGGCACGAGGAGGGGCCTGACCCTGGCATCCCGCAGGAGGAGATGCTGTCTTGGCTGCAATGCGTGAGCAGCGCCATCAACGAGTCCCAGAGCATCCGCGTGAAGACACAGAGCCTGCCCCTTCCCTCCATCACCGGCCCGGACACCACCCTGGGCAAGAAGGACAAGGAGAAGAGATTCAGCTTCTTCCCCAAAAAGAAGTAGCCTCTGGCGGCACCCCGTGCACTGGGCTGGGCCGGGCGGGGCACGGGGTGCCGCAGGGCGTGGGGATCAGCAGGAACTCCCGCCGCCCCGGAGGGGCCTAACGCCCCTGCCCCTGACCTCAGCCGTGGCCGATTCTGCTCGAGCCCGCCTCCCGGGCCGCCCACTGCCTGCCCCTGCCTGCTCCGAGCTGCCGCCCGGCGGGCCCGGGGCCCCCGCTGCGCTGCAATAGCTGCCTTGGCCCGCCCGGCGGCGCCCAGGAACCCGCCTGTCGCCTGCGCCGCGCTCCAGCTCCCGCAGCCGCGCCCCGCCGCCGCCGAGGGCCAGCTTGGGGCTCCAGGCCGCGGCTCCTGTTCCCTGGGCCTGGCGACAGGAAAGGCTCTCCCAGGCGCACGCGCGCCCTCCTCCCCTCCTGCTGGGCTGAGGGCATGCCAGCCCCCCACCACCCCCACCCCAGGAAAGCTGGAGAAGGCTGATGGTCGGGGGGAGTCCTCAATCGCTGTCCACTCCCTAAGCAGATCTTGCTTGGGGGTCACCTGGACGCAGTTGCCACCAGGCCAAAGGGAAAGGGGAAAGGATGTCGGAAATGCGAGTCCAGCTCTGGCCAGGGGTCTGCTGGGGATCCTGGGGGCCTGCCAGCCCTCCCCAGTGGGCTTTCTCAGAACCAAGACTCGTCTCAGGGGACAACACTCCCTCCCCCCCCCAAAAGGAGCAGGGGGGCACCTTGGAAGGTCTGAATCCTGACAGCAGGGGCCATTCTGCTGCCTCTAGCACCCCTGGTGTCCACCGTGGGCTAGGAAAGTGCTCTAGTAAGAGTGCCTAAGAGTTAAGGATGCAGGGCTGAGAGCCCTGAGGGAAGAGCACGTTCCACCCGGCCCAACCTGGGACTCTTCCCCTTCCCGGTCGCTGCCAACATGAGGGTTTCCTACGGAGACGAACGGGGTGGGAACCCAGCACCTGAAGTGAAGCACCCCCAAACAACAATGACAAAACAAAAATGTCCAATAACGTCCTCCTGCCGCCAGTGAAAGGTTATCAGCTAGACAGATGCCCAGCATGTGGCCGGTCACCATAGGTGGCAAAAATGCTCACTCCAGGGACAAAAGCAAGGGCCCGAGCCTACGAAGCTGTAGCGCCTTCATGGTCTTCTCCTGAAGGTCCTGACCTTGGGTCTTGGGGGTATCAAATGGGTGAAGTGACCAAACACCCTTCCTCTCCCCCTACTCCCTCACCCCCACCCCCATCCCAGCTCAGTCCCAGAGGCCCTGCACCCTAAATGCCCTGGGAGAGCCTTCCCCCTGCGTCTGGGAGACCCCGCGTTCCACAAGGGTTTTTCTTAACCACTCTGAAAGCAATACAATTCCAGTTCAGCCTCCTATCTGGGGGGTCAGAGAGGTCAAGCTGGGGGCAGTTGGCATCTTGCTGGGGACATCAGAGCCCAGCCTGGATGCTGCCTTTCCCGATTCCGTTGCCTTCCCAGCACGTGGGAAGGTGCCTTTGTCACTCTGAGATGCCGCCCTCCCCGGGACACCAGAGGCCGGCCGGGGCTCAGCACCGCCGTGTCCCAGTGAAGTCGGCTTTGGCAGACAAGAAACATGGGAGACGAGGAGTCTTTCTGTGAGGTCTGACACCCCAGAATAGGCAGTCTCGTCTCTGTAGCCAGGATCTTCGTTTGCCCTCTGCATCTGACCCCACAGTACTCTGCTTCTGCAGGAAGCTGGTGCAAAGCCACCAGCCTCTCTCTCCTGGGAAGACCAAGAGTGGGGGGTGGAGGTGGGTCCCAGGACAAACAGCAGGATCCCAACTAAAGAGCAGATGTCCGGCAGGTTTAAACTGCCATCCTGAGCAGCCTTTAGGGAGTCCAGGGGCCAAGGACCACCCTCGCCCTTTCGTGTGTGCCAAAGTAGTAAGCGACCGCGATAAGCAACTGAAGCACGTAATTCCACAGACCCAGGGGTGAAAGGGCGTCAGAGACAAGAGCTAGGACCTCACCACCCCAGGTCCCCCAGAAAGGGCAAGGGCAGCCAGCTGCATGTGACTCGTCATCTCTGGCCAGCTCCCACGCATCCCTCCCTCACGAAGCCCCAGACTCAGCCGGCTGGACAAACTTGCTGGGGCCCAGCTTCGGGAGACCCCCACACCATGCCAGGTCTAAGTGCCCGGTGTGCTAGCAAAGATTGTCTCCTCCTTCCATTTTCTACTTGGCGGTGGTTTCTCCAATACTATTCCCAAAAGGTCGACACAGCTCCAGTCCACACCAGCATAAGAGGCTTCCTCCCAGGGCAGTCTAGAGGAAGCACCTTCCGGGCATGTCAGGCACTCCCCACTCCTCCCCCCACACACACCTCTTCCGCCCCCCCCTCCCCAGCCTCCACTGTCTCTGGCTGGAGGGGGAGGGTGTTCACAGAGGGTCTGTGGGCTCCCCACCCTTACCCCTCTCCTTCCTGCCTACAGAGTGGGTCTCTAGGGTCTCCAAAGCTGGTCCTGGGTCCCTTCCGTCCCTTCCATGGGAGGGGGCAGAGACCCAGAGGACCCCCTGGCTCAGTCTGCTGGACAAGCAAGCTCAGGGAGGATGCCGGGAGGAGGCGGCTGCAGAGGCCGTGGCCCTGTGGGGCACAGACCACGCAATCTGGGCTGTCCCTGGGGCCGCTGGGCCTCATCCTCTACCTGCTCAAATGTGCTTCCACCAACCAGAGGAAACCCATTTACTAGTTTTTTTCTAATAAATCAATAACGCTCCACATTCCTCTCGGTTTCTCATTGGACTGGCTTGTTTTCCTTTGAACTGGATCCAGGAATGACGGGCACACAGGGCCATCACAGACCCAGAGGCTGGGCAGCTTTACTCTTAGGGCTGTCCCCAGAATTCTTAGGAGAGAGCTCTGACAATACCACCCCCCACACCCCACCCCAAGGCTACCAGAGATGCCAAGGTGAGTTTGCTCCTTTGCACTCGGCCCTCTCAAGGACCTGCCACAGGCCCTTCCCTACAGAGCTCAGATTAGCAGCCTCGGCCCGCACTGGACATCAGAAGCACATCAGTGTATTCCAGGTCTGGAGTGGTCTGGGTGGGGGTGGTCTCCGGTGGTCTCAGGGGATGGGTCTCACACGTCACCATTTTTAACGGACTCCACAGTGTTTCTCTCAAACAGCCAGTGAGCACCCCAAAGCTCATGCAGGGGTCCAGGCATGCCAAGAAGGGCAGTCCAGAGCCCCTCTAATTCCCCGTCTGAGGGCTATTGAGGAGTTTGAGAAGCAGTGACTCACCCATCTCCTCCCATTTACCGGAGAGGGAAAAGCAGTTCAGCCCGTGAGTGATGACTGCCGGGAGGCTCCTGACTCAGGTGTGTGGGGGCACACCTGACACAGCATCAGGTCTGAGCCTCAGCTGGCAGGATTCGTGGCTACCTCAGTGAGAGTGGTGCCCACATCAGGGCAGCTGGCAGATGCCAGGAGAGCTCTGCCATTCTGGTCGGCTCAGGAGAGCTGCCAGTCACCTCTCACCTCCCCTCAGCCTTGCTCTACTCAGCAGGCCCATTCCCAGGTCAGACTTGTTCCAGGTCAGACCTGGGGGGTGCAACAACCAAGCCCTAAGCAGAAGAAACAGAAACATGCAGGGGGGCAGCGCTGCATCCTGGACACAAAACTCCATCAGAAATAAGGGGCCTCCCTGACTCTTTGAAATGGAAACTTGGGGGGTGGGAGCTCCCAAGTGGAGCTCAAGAGGCCTAGGACTCCAGCAGCAGTGTGTGGTCAGTTAAGCCAGCAGTTTCACGTAAGGGCCTGACGAGGCGATGCTGCCCTTACATGCCAGGATCCTCAGAATTGAACTGGGAGGGACACACGTGCACTCTGACCCCTGTACCATCCTCCAGCCCCTGAGACAGAAACTCTCACCGTGGGATGAAAAATGAGGATCCAGCACTGCAAGTGGCCTGAAGGCATTCTCGGGCTCTGAGTTTAGAATTTTTGCCCCTAGGATGTCTCCAGGGAGAGAAAGGAGAAGGGCACTAGATAGAGAGTAGGAACTTGGGGTTACTTGGAAAATGTTCCATTTGCTCCCTCCACCCCAGCCCCTCTTCAGTCCAACTTTGGGAGAAATGAGCTAATGGTTGCTCGTAATGACCCCCGCCTGCAACAGCACACCGGGCTGCATGGAGAGGGATCCCCAGGGATCTGCATGGAGAGGGAAGCAGCAGTCAGAGGTCACATTCCCTGACCCCGCCGCGCCCTGTGCCTTGGCTAACACTCGAGGGGCACAGACGATGACAACTGTGTGACTGGTGGCTGGATGAGTGTCAGCCCCATGTCCCACCTCCCCGGAGGAATCAGCTCTCCCCGCCAGCCGGGTCCCAGAAAGGAGGCTGCACACAGCTCTGTCCTCAGTGGTTATTGCACTGTTGGCAGATAATGAAATGTGTGTACATGAGTGACCACCACAGGGCCAGCCAGACCACCCACAGCAGTACCTGAATGGGGAAGACCTTTACACTCTTCACAGGGAGGAGAGTCCACACGGGCGCGGACACTCAGAACACGCACCACACAGACACACGCCGCAGAATGGAAAGCAATAAATTAGGGGCTTCGATCCCACCTGGAGCCTTCACAAAAGAAAGGCCCGAGAGGAAGGCCTGCCCCCACCGCTTCCTGGCACCTCCCTGGCCGGGTGTGCCCGCTCCGATGGCTGGCAGTGGCTGGCCCACGCTGGGGGCCTGAGCAGGCCGCGTTCTCTCTGGGAAGAGGTGAGCTTAAATATTTGGCTTCTCACCAGAGAGAACTATGTACAAGGACAGTGGCCACCCTGGCCTCAGAAAGGAGAGGGTCTCGTCTGAGGCTCTGGAAAGTCACTGAGAGCCCGAGGGGAACACTCGCATGAGCATCCCCGCATTCGTCTTTTCATCGTCTTTTGGGGGAGGGTGGCCTTTCTTCTTTCTTGTTTTGGCAGGCATGGCCTTTCTGGGGGCCATGGGGTGAAACTTCCATGAGTAGGGCCAGCACAGTCTGAGCATATGTGCCAGGGCTCCCCAGGCAGCTCCTCTCCTGCTGGGTCAGCGTCAGCCTATGGAGTTCAAGGCCTGGAACTTCTCCCTCAGGTTCCGCACTCTGCCCTGCTGGCTTGGGTCAGCTGCATCCCGGGGACCCTCTTCCTTCAGTCCACACCCCTGGAAATCCTGGCCCTGCCACAGCAAGGCTGTGGGCTCCTCCGACACAGGGCCTGGTGGGGGTTCCTTCTCCATGATGATCACCCTCCGGTTGTTGTCCAAGGTGACATGGGCGGTGACGTACAAGGCCTCATCTCTATCCAGCTCTTGCTGGGGTGAGTTCCCCGGCGCCCTGGGGCCTGCCCGGCCCCTCTTGGTACTGAGGCTGCAGCAGCGGCCCACTCTGGCTGACCTAGGAGGCTCCACCATGTTCTCTGGCACCGAGCGGCTCCGGTTGACAGGCGGGGCCCGGGCCCGGCTGCCCTCAGCCAGGACTGCCTCATCATGGGAGGCATACTTGGAGCGGAGCTCTCGGACGTCGGGCCAGCTGAAGGTCTCAGTGTCCAAGGGGCTGAGGGGGTTTCGGGTGGAGGCCCGGGCTCCGGGCGAAGTGGTCCTGGGGCTGGTTGCAGAGGGACTAAAGGAGAAATGCTGCGGCGATGTCTCTCCCGCAGAGCAGGACTTCAGGGGGCTGTGCTCGGGGGTCATCAGCGGCTCAGGGTGGAAAAGGGACAG